AAAAAAAAACAGCAAAACATGAAAGAGATAGAGTAGAAATTTGAGTTTAATCCTGGTTAGTTTAAGGAAAAAAATGTAACAGAGACATTAACTGTTGTGTATATATATGTACTAAAGATGTATTAAAAATTAAAAAATATATCAAATATATTAAATAATATAAAGTGTATTAAATAAATATATTAAAAAATATTAAATATATTAAAAAATTAAAAATACAGGAATTATATATGTTATTAAAAGAATTAAAATTAAAAAATATGATCATAAAAATGTATTAAAAATAACCGCACAATATGTGGATTCAAATGTAGATATTTTGTGGTTATGAAAAAGGTTGTAATGTTGAAATAGATAGCAACGCGTACTAGACTAGCCGATGCAATCATGCGTTTTGTGCAACTCAGCCCATCGAACAATTGCCTATTAATGATTTTCACTGCTTTGTACTTTAGTCTATGCAAAAATAGTTCAAATAGTTAAATGGAAAATAGTTAAAAATTTCACGTACCAACTCATGAAAGCTGAATTCAAAACCTTGAAGGGTGAATATCTTTCCGTGATTCCTGAGTTAATAGTTTACCCGTCAAAATTTTCACGAGGCTGTAGGTGATGCTCAATAGGTCGAGAACGCTGAATTTGAATAGGCAGGGTCGAGTATGGGCAGTGAGTCGTTACCCTAAAATTTCAGCTTCCTAGACCCCGTGGTTCCCGAGATATTAACTAACCCGTAAGAAACTTTCACGGGGCCGTACGCGTTACCCGCGGGTACGAGAAGACTGAATTTAAATTTGCTGCATCACTCACTGATGGGGAACACTATACCAAAATTTCAGCCGCCTAGCTTTTGTGGTTCCCGAGTGCGGGACAGAATGTGGGACACAAACACACATAGACAACCCGGTGACAATATGTGTTTTGTACTGCTGTTACACAGCACAAAACGCATTAAAAAATGCCCTAATATTGAAGAATGTAGAAAAAAGAAGTGCAAAGGCATTTAATGAGGGGATAAAAAAAAGGAG